AGAATGAGAGAGAGATAGAGAGAGATAATAAAACTGAAAAAGCATATACATACATATGTATATGCATACATACATTGTGCAAGCATAAATACATTGATAAAACATTATAAGTTTATACATAAGAATGACGCCAGAACGACCTACCATATATTCAATCGAACATATGTATAAGCAATATACATGCATATACACATACTTACATGCATGCAAATATGCATGTCTGCATACCCATATACTTATATACATATGTACATATACACATACATACAAACGTATTTAGAAGCAAGCATATATGCACCCACAAACATACATGCATATGCACTTATACATTTACGTATATACATATACAAAAATATACATACATACATACAAGCATACATACATACATACATAAAGACACACATGTACAAACATTATAAATTTAAACTTATTATTATTGTCACTAGGACTTGTTAACACAACACTTATGATAAATGCATGAAAGCCTGCAAGCCTACTTGAAATTATGAGAATCGAGGAGTAGAGCGATATTGAAAATACGAATTATTTAAATTCGCAGCACAGCGAATCTGTGTTTGATATATAAGAACATATGTATGTTCATGCATGCACACATATGTACATATGTATGTACATACGTACATGTATACATAAATACAAACATATAAACGTACATATGAGCAAACATGCATGAATACATATATACAAATATACATTTACGTAGATATCTACAAACACACACACATATATATATATATATATATATAACTATAACTACATACATACATACATACATTCATACATACATACATGCATACATGCATACATGCATACATACATAAAGACACACATATACAAACATTATAATTTAAAACTTATTATTATTGTCACTAGCACTTGTTAACACAACACCTATGATAAATGCTTGAAAACCTGCAAGCCTACTTGAAATTACGAGAATCGAGGAGTAGAGCGATATTTCCTTATACGTTATGTTTAAATTTACAGCGCAGGATGTGGATCAATTGCCCAGCGTTTGGTAAGTATAACAGAACACACATACATACATATTTTCATACAAATATGAATATATTTAATTATACTTTAATCTACAAACATACATACGTATATTAGAATTGCTTTAAAGGCTGGAGTACAATACATCTATTTTTTTCTACAATATGCATGTCATACATTTTGTGTGTAGGGTATCAAGAAATCGTTATGCTTTTGACAACTTTAGAACTGGTTAATTAATGTTTTATTCTTTCGAGTGAAAAGTGAAATTGACGTAACCGCCACTCTTCCAAATAACTTATAAAGAAATTCACTAAAACGAACGAGTTCTTTCGTCTACAGTATGTGACTATGAAATACCCTGTAACAGGCAGGAAGTGATATATACTAGGTGACGCATATTGTAAAAGTTATGTACATATATGATCTGAATTAGATGCTACGGTCATCTATTAAGAGCTTTTGCACTATATGATATAAATGATGGCCTAACTAATAATACCCTTTTGAACATATTTTTGGGTGCAGGGTATACAATGTGCGGAATTGAAAGAGGAATAATTTCACTTGCTATGGAGACACACTTTTCAAGTAGTGTCTGTTTGTATTTTATTATTACGAAAGTACATACGTACACACATACAAACATACGTACATACATGCATACATATGTATGTATGTATATTCTCGTTGAATATAAAAGTGCAGTTAATATTGACTCTACCGAATTTCAAGTGGTGCTCGTGCGCGCATTTTGTTCTTGGCTGATAATCATGAGAATTATATATTGTGTAACCTTAATTACTTATACATAGTATATATATTTGAAATATATAATATACATATGCCTTTACATACATACGTATGTATGCATTTACGAGCAGTTGGCAACCTGGCCTCCTTCTGTTTGGGGCCTAAAAAGAAAACATGCAATTAAAATGTGCTGCTTTTCGCTATTGTCTATAAACATTGCTATGTATGATATACTATATATGTAAGTACTTGTATTATTATTATTAACTGCTGCTCACCCGTGTATACACACACACACACACACACACACACACACACATATGTATGTACGCTACGCTAACTATCTACTTACTATCCATTTCACACTGCTTCTTCTGACTTTGGCTTCGGCTTTCGTTCTCTTTAAGAAATGTGCGCGTGACACGAGCACGACTTTTAATGTCTAAACATCTTGACACGATAAGTTAGCTATATAGAGCTCCAATGAGAATAAGCACACTCCAGTCTGAGAGGTAGTCCAAAAATTATATTGTTCTTAATTATTTTCTATTCGAAATATATTTAAATAAAAAGATTATATGAATATAATTATCATTATTATAATAATAATATGTATATTCTTATTAAAAAATTGGGTATATAAAAAAGTGAAGTCATTCAAATATTTTCAATTTCAAACTTGAAATTTATTAAATATTTAAAAATGGTATGCCATACAAAGAAAGTCTTGAGTTTAGGCCTGGAGTTTTCTAAGGTTTTATTTGCTTATTCATTTATTTTTAAATTAAATTAAATTTAAATTATTTTAAAATCACGCAAGCAGACATTATTTATCCATATATGTGTTATACATTTTGTTTCGGAAAACAAAAGAATACTGTACATAGTTTCATTCGTGTAAAAATCGAAGAAAATAATATTTTAAAAAAGTCGGAATACATTAAGGCCCTCTCCACTCTTTCAGTATTAATGCAAATAATTCAGAGCTATGAATATGTATTATGCATAATTTAATAAACGAAAAGAATACCACCATAATCGACAAAAATGTGAATTGTTAAATAACTTTTTTTATAGTGCAAAATTGATCGTGCCTAAAGTTCCAAATCTCGTGACGCGTCCATCTCTAAGCATGTGTGCTTGGGATTGCCGTTGACTTAAACGTTTTTTAGTGACGCTCGAGTAAATAAAATACAGTGCATAAACTTGTTGCTACATATTGTTATAGTTGTCATACTATTTATTTACTGTTGTTTTTTAGTTGTTGCTTTCTGCTGACAGCAACTTCTTTGGCGGCGTTTTCTAAAGTAAGGCCAAGGAAGGAGTAGTAAAGCGAGGGAGAGGGGGGGGAGGGGGTTGGTTCAACGGCGAAAGTCAAAGGCCAACGCCGAGGGCGGCAATTTCAACAGTAGAATGAATGTGTAGAAAGTGAAAGATCTTGATTCGGTAAATATGCACATATACAGAAAGAAGTCAGTGCTCCATTAAGATGCCAGAGATTGAATTTATCCGCCTTGCGTGTCGGGCTCTGTTTGTTTTGGACTGGAGATCGCATAAACTGTATCCAACTGGGCGGACGATGCGACCGACGCTGGACATGGACAAGTCGAACCTGTCTCTGGACATGGCCGGCCGTATCCTGTGCACCGTCCATTTGGCGGTCATCTCGCAAGCCTAAACTGTCACTTCAAATGCCTTGGCCGCGTTTATTGCAGACATAGTTCGAGTCCAGTTTCTGGGATGCGTATGAATTCCGAAAAGTAGAACTCGTCAAGCACCAAGCAGAAAGTGCAAGCCAACCAAATCTTAAACTGTCCGTTGCGCATGCGCATTCAACAGAAGACGAACAGCTCATTGCACAGTGGTACGAAAACAACAAGCACCAGTCCATGTCACAGTTCATGTTTGTGGGAAACACATTTTCATTCATTGATATGGGTAGTACTTAGTTTAAGCTTATCAAAGGATCTGTTCCAATTCACAGGACCCTAAAACATTGTGTATTTACGAAACTGACTAAATATAGAAATAACAAGCGAATTTCTTGTTGAAGACTGCATTCACTTCAGCAACAAAAAACAGGTAAAAATAAATTCATTAAACGAGCAAAGTTCTGTATAGAGGTTTATCCAGGTTTATCCCGTACAACTCACATTTCCTCTGACTTGTAACACATTATTTGATGCAAAGCCTTTGAATCAATTTAGCTCTTTACGGAGCATGTTAAGTTGGTTGCGCCTTCAAATATACTGCACAAGCTGAACTGGCTGCGCCTGAACACTTGTTGCTAGTTAAGTTGGCTGCGCCTAACTGTCGAATGTTGCGCCGCATTTCGTTTGCTTTGCTTTCAAATAAAGTGATTACCTCACTAGTTTTCATAAATTTGCACTTTGACGCTTATTATATTGATACGTGAACAGATCCAACCAATTTTACGCAATTCATTGAGTTGTAATTGCAAAAACAGGAAACGACTGTTCTATGTGAGGCAACGCCCCAATTTATGCATGAATAGCTTGCCAAATATAAGATTAACAACATTTTGATGACATACATTTAGATACACTTTTTTTGTTGTCGTGTTTGTAATTTGAAATACTTATATTAAGATAAATACATATATTGATGGGCTGTCAGGTTTTAAGTACTTTATGCGCATATCTATAAATATATTACGGTGGAATACGTATCTAGAAGTTCATCCGTTAGTTTGCTTTTGTAAAATCTGCATCTTAACATAATATAGGAAATATTTTCTATACTTTTGCTCCGGAACATTGAAAGAGCAAAAAAACATGCTGAGAAATACAAATAATTCACATGAATAATAAGAATTTGTTAGTCGAGTCAGGCAATACCACCTGTGCTGCACCACTGTGCAGTGGGATCGTTGATTCTCATCTGTGATTAGATCGACAATTTGCAATGCTTCGATGATTCGACGCAGGGCAACTAAACGACAGCCACAACGTTGACAACGTGCCCAGAACATTAGCTGCAAGGGGGCGGGAAGGGGAAGGGGAAGGCGGCTGCGGCGGCGGCGGCGCATACCGAATATACTTAGTATAAACCGTGAGCGACATCTTCACTCAAACGTTACGGGCAAAAGTCAAGCAGTCGAAACTCTCATATCGGATGGGGTGGGGCGGGGGGATTTGAGTTTCTCCTGCAAGTGGCGCATTGCTGTGGCGGCGGGTCGGTAGCGGGTCGGCGGCGGGTCGTCGGTGGATCCGCTTGTGTTTTGGGTCTCTGCTGGGTCGTTGTTTCATTTGTAGACGAGACTCGCAGCCAAACGGTCGCGTACGCGTTTATTCCAAGAATTTGTGGACAACAAATCCAGTTGGCACTCGGTTGTTCGTTAGCTGAATTGCTGGTTTGTCACGGTTGCCACCGCCGCCAGCTCGTCCCGTTGCCGGCGACATATATATATATATAAAATGCCTGCCTTCCACATAGTCGTTAAGCTGCTAATGCTGCGCCTGCTGCTGGCCAGTCTGTCGGGTCTGTCGGGTCGGTCGGGTCTGTCGGGTCTTTCGTGTGCGGCCTATGACTTTGGCTATCATCCCAGCGCCGAGGAGTTTGACAGTCTGCTGCGGGAGACGCGCACCTGGACGCGCGATCTGCTGGCCAATGAGCGGCGCCGCGAGAGCTATGTGCCCCGCTACACCTATCCGGAGCAGGCACCACCCAACGCCGAATTGGACTTTCAGCTGTTCAGCGATGATCAGGAACAGCAGGCACAGCAGCCGTATGTCTATGAGTCGGTCGCACCACTCGAGCCACAGCCGGAGCAGCATGTCCAGAGCGAACTGATAGAGATTAACGATGTTCCAGCAGCGGGAGCAGCAATATCTGGTAACAACAACAACAACAACAACAACAACAGCAGCAGCAACGGCGGCGGCAATTTTCCCATCTTCTTCACCAATCCCGCCACGGGCATTGTGTATGCCATTAGCGAAGTGGGTCGGAACACCAAGTCGCAGCCGTGGCCCGGCAATGGCAGCGACACAGATGCCATTGACATCTATGTGACCAAGGCGCAGTATGATGCCGATTTGCTGGCGCTGCGTCAGCGCTACGAGAAACAGTGCTCCGCCCCGTCCCTGTCCCTGTCCCCGTCCCAGTCTCAGTCGTCGTCGCAGTCAGTGATGTCGACGCCCAGCTTTAAGCCGCCTGCTCGGGGCACAGCGCGTCCACAGATCATACGCCTGCAGAAGCCACCCAAAAAGCCGACAGTTCCTAGCTCTCCAAGCACAGCCGCCGGCAATAACAAGCTTCCACACAGGCCGCCTCCCATAATGGTGGCCAGCGGCACAACGGGCACCATTAGCGATCAGCTGCTCAAGCTGCCCACAACCACGACCAAGCCTCGGACTGGTCAACGGCCCCGGCCCACACCCGGCAATACCCAAAAGCCCAAGCGCAATAAGCGGAAGAAGAAGAAGAAAACGCAAAAACGTCGACCGGGACACAAGTTGACGACAACAACGACAGGGCCACAGATTGTGCTGGGCAAGCGCACGACGAGCAGGCCAGGATCAATAGCCGCCGCTCCGGCCACACAGCTGGAGAAGCCGCACATGCCACTGCCCACAGCTGCACTGGCAGCCGCCAGCGGCAACAGCGGCAACAGCGGCACCATCTTCAGCGACCAGCCCATCGCCATCTCCAGCGGCTACATTGAGCTACCCCATCGCTTGAGACGCCGCTCAGTGGATGCCCTGCCAAGCACATTGGCGGGCGCTCGACCCATCAGCAGTGGCCGGCCCCGGCCCCGGCCCAGCGGCAGCGGCAACGGTCGGCGTCGACCAAGCACCAGCGGTAACAGCCGGAAGCGACCCGATACGCCCTCGTTGCCAGCCAATCCCGCGACTGGAGGCAGCGGCTACCGTGTGCCACACGCCGTCCACCTGCTGCATGCCCGGCACAATGGCAGCGAGGAGCGCGACGGGCGGGAGGGCAGAAGGCACAGCGCTGAGGGGATTCTTGATATATTTGAGCTGTTGACTGGCGATGACTACGAGGACACGGATGACTCCTACTACGAGCAGGATGCCAACGAGCATACAGCAATCAATAAGCACAGCAGCAGCAGCAGCGAGAGGCCGACGCAGGAACAGAACAGCAGCTCGGCGGAGGAAGGCGCCGACTTCGGTGCAATGGAGGAGGAGCTGCCAAGCATTATAAAAAGCAGCACCACCAGCAGCACCACCAGCAGCACTACCAGCACCACCACCACCACCAGCACCACAGCTCCAGCTACAGAGCTGGCCCTCGAGGAGGAGCAGCTGCAGTCGGGGGCAGGCGAGGAGAAGCTGTCGAGCAGTAAAAATAGCATGAGCAAAAAGCGCATCAGACGCCGCCCGCCCGGCCCCAGTTCCGATGAGTACTACGATGACGATGTCGATGATGAGGATGTGGAAAACGATTTGGATGCGGACTCGGATTCGATAACGGATTCAGGCATTGGCAGCTTCTTTCGCATGATATTCTATCCGGTGCAGGTGGCAATGTCGCGCATCTTTGACGGCTTCACGGGCCAAGCGGACGAGGACGAGAATGTTGTGGCCACATCAAAGCCCAAGTATCCCAGCTATACGCTCTATCACAGTGCCCACAGCCACAACTCGCTGTCCGACGACAGCGACGCGGATGAGGGCGAGGATGGGGATGAGGAGGACGATGACGGCGGCTCGCTGGGCAGCTGGTTTGGCTCTTGGTTTGGCCTGCGACGCCGCACCAAAAAGATTGGCAGCACCACAGCCATGCCCGCGGCGCCGCTGCCTCTGCCTACGCCCGCCCCAACGCCCGCAGAGCCAGCCGGCTGGCTGGAGTCCTGGTTCGGATTTGGCAAGACAACAACGGAGGCGTCCAGCGAGGAGACTGACTATGACAGTGAGTATCGTATACTCCATTATCAATGATAAACGAACTTACGCAAACATGGCGACTGGAGCTGAAGATCATTCACAGAATGTTCTAGACGAGAGATACCCTGTAATCAGCTCACGTACATTCCATCCCACTCAGGCTGTGCTTCTTCTACCCCTAAGGGTAGTGCGTGCGGTTGTTGTCCGATGTTTGAGCAATTTCCAGGGCTTTCACATGACACTCAAATGCGTTTACAAGTCAAAGGGCTAGGGAAAATCAGGTATTTTTTCCAGCAATGTGCGAAGTGTCCAAAAAGGGAATTATTCCTTAATTAATTATTAATAACATATAACATATAACATTTGTTGTATCAAGCTCTTATAATTTCCGAGTTAAATTTAAAAAAACTTGTTTCAAAATCGATATTTATCGATTTTAAGGAAATGTCTAGAGATATCGAGAAAAATAAAAAATCGTTCTGCGAATGTAAGCGGGAATATATATATACATATATTACCAAACTTCAATCGACAGACTCTTATGAGCTACAAGTTTAGCTTGTGCAGTTTTTAATCGAGATTTATCGATTTCAAGGAGAGTTATCGAATTATTATATGAGTGATTCAGATTGGACGCCTCTAGCTTTTATAGTTCCAAGGTGCTCACATTGACTTGGACAGATCTAGAATATACCATATATATACAATATGGTATCGCTAATGTTTTTGATCGACTCCTAAATGATTTTTTTTATATAGATAATTCTTGATTTAAGCTTCTATCGCTTGAAAGCTTGACATAAAACTGTAGCTATTATTGGACGAGGTGTGCTATAATAAATAATAAAAAAGATCCGCGTCTTAGAAATCCGCCAGAACTCCCTTTTGACAAAAATCCAAGAAATTGTATATCTTCCAAAGTTTGGAAAACCACTTGCAAGAACCGAAACGAAAAGCAGGAAGCTGGTTCGAACCGAGAGCCGAGCCGACAATTCTGATCAACCCTGATCGCAATTGAACTTATTGCGATTCCCGGGAACTATTCAAGCGCCCCTCGTATTCAAGTAGAAATATTGTTGCTCAGGCTGATGCGTTGCGGCAGACGGCCCACTGACCCGCTCCCAGATCTAACGGTGGCATCAGAAGCTTCTGCTGTCTTCTCTCCATGCGTTGGATTCACGCTTTCTGCACAGCCTGAGCACTTAACTAGTTTGACCCTCTTGGCCGGTAAGCACTCGCCTTCGCTCTCTTTTAATCTCCGTTCCCATTTGCTGCTCTTGCAGAGTGGTTCGCCGGCTGGTTCGATGGCACGTCCAAGCGTCGCCGCAAAACAACAACGACGACGACGACCACAACGACAACGACAATGCCGACGCCCCAGGTGCCCATCTTGACCATTGTGGATCCGTTGCGCAATCCGCAAAACTGGATTGGCATATTGGCGCATCACATAGTGAATGCGACCGCTGGTGGCGCTGGTGTCGCTGGTGTCTCTAGCACCACCAAAAATCCGCTGCTGGAGGCGCTGGTCACACGTGTGAGCAGCACGACGAGCGGCAAGCCGGAGCTGCCGCGACGCATCAGCTATGACAAGTATCAGATCTGGCGACTCAAGCCGCAGGATGAGCCGCAGGTGCGCGCTCTCGAGGAGTTCAAGAAGAGCGAGGACGGCAACAAGCTGCAGTGGCTAAAGGGGCCCAGTCTAAGGTAAGGTTCGCATGGCCAAATCCAATGCCACAGTTCGCAATTGCCCGATCCATTATCCAGGGGCCTCACCGACGTGCTGGTGCCGCCAAAGATGCTGGTCGACTTTCAGGGCACGCTCAACTTCGAGGGCATTGCGCACGATGTGCTCATCTTCGATGTGGGCAAGGCCATCGCCTATGAGCGCAACAAGGATGACTATCTGTACACAACGCCCGCGGCAACTAGGCGACCCACCAAACAGCCGCCGACGCCGCCGCCCCTCACCTGGAACAAGTACTACGAATACGATGACATACTCCGGTATCTGGAAGCGATGCGCATGCGGCACACACAGCTCGTCGAGCTGATACACATCGGACGTTCCTTCGAGGGTCGACCGCTGATCGTCGTCAAGATCGAGTCCAAGCAGATGGCTGCTGCGGCCAGCGCCGCTGCCGCCGCCAGCCACAAGCGTCTCAAGCACAAGCGTCGCTCCGGGCGGGCCAATGCCGTCTTCATAGAGGCCGGCGCCCAGGGTCTGGCCTGGATTGGACCCGCTGCGGCCACGTGGATGATCAGCGAACTGCTGCGGCTTATGCGCACAAACAGTGAGTACCTCAATCAAGATCAGCCGGCAGCAAATCCCAAAGAACCTTCGGTTAAGCCGAACTAGTTGCTCCAAAAACAACCGAACCGAACTGAACCTTTATTTTCACATTAAATGCAATTTATGCAGCTCCTAAATAAGGATTCAGTCTAGGGTCTGGCTGCCAAGTCAGGGATAAGTTAGAGTGAAGTCTGTAGCTACAGTAAAAACTCGCTTGGACGGATATCATTTAATTAATTTGGGCTGATTCCAGCCTAATGGGCTGATTCCAGCCTGGTCTGAGAGTTAATGTTGGCTCGCAAAGGTGTGTCCGCCTGGTGGGAGTTTTCGTTAGGCGAGTCTTCACTGTATTAGCCATGCGTAGTGCATACCCGTATTTGGAGTTATTTTATGACCAACCGCCCAAGAAATCAAGCCACAAGTTTATATACTGTTAAGACTATGGTAATCGGTTAATTTATACGGTTTCTAGTTAATATCAGAATGTCAAACGTTGAATTTTGTGCCAGGTAATTGTTGATCCGGTACGAAAATATTTATCCTCGACGAAAAATACTGTTGGCGCTGTCGCGCATCCAGATGAGCCACGTGGGCGGCTGCTTCATTTCCGTCAGGACGGCATTGCGACGTGACCTATCAAAGATCTTGCGGCCCTGGCAGTCCGTGTATTTCGCTCTGGATCTGCTGGCGGCGGCCTTGTGCTGGGGCCTGACCTTGGCCATCGAGCCCGATGGCGACGAGTACGACTTTGCTTTCGCCTTCGCCTTCGCCTTTGGCATTGGCTTCGGTTTGCCACTCACATGGCATTTGCTGGCGCAGACCCTTTTGGCGCTGGCCAGCACCGCCTGGTTGCACTTCTTGCAGCTGGCTATGCTGCCGGAGGCGGTCGCCGTGATGCTCCTGCTGATGGCATGGGCACGATTGTAGCAGGGTCCACCGCTGTGCGTGGCCAGCGTTATGGCAAAGGCAAGGACCAGCAGGCCGAACACAGTGCCCACCGCCACGTGCACATTTCGATCGGCGTTCTTCAGATCCACCAACAACTGGACTATATAGTAGCCCAGCGTTATCCAAAACGTGAACGTGCAAATGGCAAAAAAGCTGTCAAGTAAACGAACAGATTAGGAATCCAGGAAATACCCTTAAGCCGAGTTGCTCTTACAAAAATATTCTAGCTTCTACACAATTAACAGAAACACGCTACCAGTTGATATCGATTTATATCGATTTCATCGAAACGGGGCAATTTATCGATTATCTATTTATCAATCATCAGCGTATTATACGCGAAAACCTGCATTTCAAGTTACGTGTATCTGACTCTTGTGATGTTCAAGCTATGCTTAAAAAGCCAAATGCAAAAATCGATAATTATCGATATTATTAAAATGGCAGAAGATTTAGCTCGCCTTGCGTATGACAAACGATATGTATTTATCCGAGACTGATCGTGTTTTAAAAATTTGTAAAAAGCCAAATGCAAAAATCGATAATTATCGATATTATAAAAATGGCAGAAGACTTAGCTCGCCTTGCGTATGGCTAACGATATATACTTATCCGAGACTGATCGTGTTTTAAAAAGCTTTAAAAAGCCAAATGCAAAAATCGATATTTATCGATATTATTAAGATGGCAGAATGCTTAGCTCGCCTTGCGTTTGGCGCATGAGATATACTCATCCGAGATTAATCGTGTAATCTGTCTGCCTGTGAACAGACAGATAGACGGATAGGCGGACAGACGGACAGGCGGACAGACGGACAGGCGGACGGATGAGTTGAGGGTATAAAAACAGAGAGATTAGACTTACACCAATATGGCCAGCACCTCCATGAGAAACGTGGCGATCGCATTGATGAACTCGTTGTTGCAAATGCGAACGCCGCCGGATACCTGATTGGGGATGCCAGCGCGACTGCCCCAATGTTTCTTGCAGCCCGCAAAGCAGTCGGTATTGATGCCGCATAGCTCGTCGCAGGCCAAATGATCGCTGCAGGTGCCGCGACTGACGGCGTTCAGGAGGCCCATGTTGCCTTGCAGGTGGACCGGCAGGCCGAGCGTATCCCGTCCACGCAATGAGCCTTCGGTAATGGGTCCAGTGAGGCCATATAGACCATAGTCCACGCTGCAAGCAGACCTTGGTATTTGAGCAAGCCCCTCATCACGTCTGGACACATTCTCATTCATGCTAGATTTGCGTCCGAAGGTCATAACACCGAACGCCACGGCGCCAGGTGGATTTCCTTCCTGTCCAGGCCCATTGGCTGTGGCGCCAATGCATCGACACATCTCGGTGCCTCTGTGGGATCCCGGTTGAGGCTGGTCATAGCCCATATCCATACCCGGTACGGCCCCATACCCATACGCATCCTGTTCACCATCAGGTCCCACCATTCCTTGCCAATTTGCTTGACCCACTCCCGATCCCCTGCCTGACACAACTCCTGATCTCCCGCCTGAGCCCATTCCTGGTCCCATTCCTTGATCCATTCCTTGCCAATTATCTGAACCCATTCTTGGCTCCATTCCTTGCCAACTTTCTGGACCTACTCCTGGATCTGTTTCTGGCCAATTATCTGGACCCATTCCTGGCTCCATTCCTTGCCAATTATCTGAACCCATTCCTGGCTCCATTCCTTGCCAATTGTCGGGGCCCATTCCTGGATCCATTCCTTGCCAATCTTGAGAACCCATTCTTGGATCCATTCCTTGCCAATTTTCTGGACCCATTTCTCCATCCATTCCTTGCCAATTTTCTGGTCCCATTTGTGGCTCCATTCCTTGCCAATTATCAGGGTCCATTCCTGGATCCATTCCTGGCTCCATTCCTTGCCAATTTTCTGCACCCATTCCTGGGTCCATTCCTTGCCAATTATCTGAGCCCATTCCTGGATCCATTCCTGGATCCGTTCCTTGCCAATTATCTGAACCCATTCTTGGCTCCATTCCTTGCCAATTTTCCGCACCCATTCCTGGATCCATTCCTGGTTCCATTCCTTGCCAATTTTCTGGACCCATTTCTTGTCCCATTCCTGAGCCTCCCCATGAGCCTCTTGCCGGCTCCGTTCCTTGCCAATTTTCTGGACCCATTCCTTGTACCATTCCTTGTCCCATTCCTGAGCCTCTCCCTGAGCCTATCCCTGAGGGTCTTCGCGAATCCATTCGTGGTCCCATTCCTGCGCCTCTCATTGAGCCCCTTCCTGGCTGCATTCCTGGTCCCATCCTCGGACCCATGCCTTGCCCCATTCCCGGACCCCTTCCAATACCACACAGACATTGAGGACCCATTCTCTGTCCTGGTCTCGGACTCGGTCCTTGGTAAGGGCCGCCATGAGTTGAATATGGCATCGGCCTAGCGCTCATGCCCGGTGGTCTACCATTTTGCACTCCGGGCGATCGATTCTGGGCGTTCTGTGCTCGAGCCTGCTCCTTGCATTTCGTGCATGGGCAGGGAGGCTCCGTTGGCGGACGTGACGCCGGGCCCGGTGGTCCAGACATTGCGCTACGCTTGCCGGGATTTCACACGTGTATAATTTTTACAAAATTTTGACTATAGACTAGCACTGACAGATTTTGGATAGAAACTGAAGTCAGGGGCCACCAAAGCTGCCTGACATGCCCACTTAGATGGGGCAAAATTCTCACAAATTCTCTGAATTTCTGAAAATTATCCACTCAAATTTATTCCAATCTTTTATGAATATAATTGAAGGTATGCTGGGTATATTAGCAAATTCCAGAACATAAATTAATCCACTAAAAATAAATAAATACATAAAAATCTTATGAAGGTAATATTACTTACCAAATTCCTGCGCCTTGGGTTTTTGGTTACTAAGCGATCCTCTTCGAAATCGATTTTTATCGATTTAAGGGAAGCTCTTCGCATCCTGAAAAAAAATTCATAAATATTTAAAAATTCGATCTGTTTGGCTTTAATATTCGGCGTATTACAAATGGGTTGTAAATCGATTTTTATCGATTTAGTGGTCATTATTAGCAACATAAAAATTTCATAATTAACCTGCGTTATCTGAATCGTATCTGAGTTGTAAATCGATTATTATCAGTTTTCCGCTTATTAGTTTATCGATAACTCAATAAATCTTACAATCTGTCAAACAACTTTTAACGGATTATTTTTTAAACATGTTCTCTATTTCTCTCTGTTATATTATCCAAGCTCGACAAAGTCATATCATATATATAAAAATAGGGATATAGCCAATGTGTATTATATAATTATTTAATAAATTTCGTAAGAATAATGTGAGAAAAATATCCCAACTTCTTGATAATGATGCAGATTCATACATTGAAAACAAATTAAGATGTGTTAAGAGGTTTTTGAATTGTTTTAAATATACCATATCGATTCTCTATAATATGAGGAATAGTAATGGGTATTGATAAACTCCTTGTTGATTACATTTTTACACTTCATTTTTCATGTTATCGTGGTTTTTTTCAGAGACCGATGAGGAGCATGAGTTTGTACGGAACACCACCTGGTACATAATGCCAGTGCTCAATCCGGATGGGTACGTGTATAGTCATGATTACGATCGCTTCTGGAAGAAGTCACGTTCCCAGCATGTGGCTAAGCAACCAGCTGGACTGCTCGATTCGGCGATGACCTGGCTTCAGCAGAAGCGTCATGGTGATAAGATCTGTTATGGTGTGGACCTGGATCGCAACTGGCTGTATCAGTGGGGCAAACGGGGTAGCTCCAAGGCGCCCTGCAATGAATTTTATGCCGGTCCGTCGCCCTTTTCGGAGCCTGAAACAAAAGCTGTGTCCGACTTTCTGATGGACTATCGCACACAGATCAAGGTGCGTGGACGGGCAGCCAAATCCGAATCGCTTAATCTGACACTTATTCAATTTTTTGTGCATTGCTTTTGCAGCTATATATATCACTGCAGGCCTATGGGCAGGTGCTGTCGTATCCGGTGAAGGCCAATTCCACCTTCAATTCGGAGCGCATGGATGACTTTCTGGACGTGGCCATGGTGGGTACCGATGTGCTGCGCAAAAAGGGCAGCAAGGCGCGCTACAAGGTTGACTCGGCCAATGATTTGATTGAGCAGCGTTCGGGTATGTAGTCAGAGATGCACTCTATTGATCAATTGATCTCAATGATGCACTTACTCCTGCTACCCATCCTTCCGTAGGCTGTGCTGATGCCTTTGCCGCCTACGAGATTGGCATACCGTTCAGCTTCACGCTCCAGCTGGCAGATAACGGTGTACATGGCTATCTATTGCCCAGCGGCGCCATTGAGACAACAGCGCGGGACGCCTTTGAGATAGTTAGCGGCATGCTGGACTACATCTGAGGCAGTTGGTAGGAGCCAGGCCGTGTGAATGCGAGTGTTGACGTTTAAGCGCGCAGCATAACTCAAACGTTAGTTCCTTTTTTTTCAGCTGCGATCAGATTCGCATTTCTGCTCTTACAATTAAGGACGAAACCAACGCTATATAACTCAATATGATATATATTTAATACTTGGTAGTCTATTTTTTTTTTCATTTTTTTTTATATACATTAATATTTTTGGATCTTTTTAGTCTTAATATTTATAAACAAACTTAGTGCATATAACTTATTTTATGTTTAACGTAAACAATAAAAAAAAATTGATATTTATCTAACTTAAATGCTGCTTTAAATTTGTTCCACACTTAAATCCTAATTGCGTAAAGAACAATAAAGTGAATTATAATTTTTTTTTTATACAAGTAAACATAGAAATTACCTTTCTTCTACAAATATATACTTATATATAATAATCATCCAATGGTTTGCTCTAATTTCGATATATTAGGTAAAGATCTTATATCAATGAGAAACTTGGAACACTTCAAAGGCAGCAACTGGCGCCATTATTTAACAATTAAACATTAAGATTTAATTATATATAAAGGCACTATTTAAACCAATATACACTAACTCTCAGTGCAGGCCCTGGGAGAGGCGTATGCGTTCCGAGAGTGCGGAAAAGTTCGTATATAGCTCATTGCCGCTAAAGTAAAGTCCGATGAGCAGTTTGAATTGCGCCGGTGTCAATGGATAAGTCTCAGTGGGCATGACAACGATGGCATCGACAGCGTTTCGATTCTGCTTCTGCTTGGACACGTGCACCATTTCCAGGTAATTGCAAAATGCAGCGGCACACTTGGCTACGTGACGTACCAGTGTCTTCCTGGAGCACTGCTGCAGCACTGGGCGGCCAATCAGTTCGGCGACAATTGAGTGCATATCGAATATAATGAGATCAGGACGCGGTTGGCAGTCGTATAGCTCGATAATGCGGCGCGGTGCGCTCTCAATGTCCTTGACTGCAATGCTCATCCAGCGTTCCATATGAACTAGCGACCGCGGCTTTTTCAATGTGCCTGGCAAACTCATTTGGTTTTGGGTCATCAGAAGCACCTTCTTTTCACGCTCCACGCAAAGCTCGCACAGCTGCGAGCGAAAAGGATTGATAAGTTGGCGAGTGGAGTGTCAAACGGGACTTACCTTAAGCAAATGCCGCCTGTATTCGCCGTTAGGCGCTAGGAAAATGTGATTTCTTATAAACTGCAAGCATAGATATTTATAAATGTTCATGAAGACACACTGCTATGTTTTTAGAAGTATTCCATTAGGCTGTGTACTCACATCATTCTCTGAAATGTGGGGCATATCTGCCGGCATTTAATTGGGCGCTTTAATATCTGACTTAATCCCAATTCTACACACCAGGGATGCTGGTAGTGAATCGATACGCGATAGACCCAAGCTCTTGTCATCGATACTTTGGTGAAATATATTATGTCGGTGTCGATGCTTTAAGCGGTATTTTAAAATAGGCAATATTTTTATCGACTAGTACATCACGGATAATAATTGAAAAGAAAAAATTAAGCAACGCTTTGCTGCCGTTCTAATTAAAATTCAGAATTGTGTAAGTACAATTTGTTGTTTCTATCATTATTAAATTTCAAAGGTTTTTGCTTACAAAGTTTACAGTGCGTTTACATAACAATGTTAGAGACTTTGCTTAATGTAACATCCAAGCAAATTATTGAGTTAAAAGTTCAATTGAGTAATAACGTTGCCATTTCGAGTATAACAGAGTTGCACTTTCACCACACCACAATATTAGTGCTGTAAACGGCCGGCAGTTGAGCATACCCACTGGCGACTGGAGCGACTGAGATAAATATACAATAGACACAGAGCGAGATAAGTATATAGACTAACGCTGTAAACTCAACACAGCCGTGCCGTGCCGACGAACGAAAGAGCGCACAAAGCGTAATGTGAAAGAATTGAAAAAATCATCAAGTATAGAGGCCAAAAGCAAACGCAGCAGTTGGGCGAATTTTAATATTTTTGATTAATAATTCAAAGTATCGCATGCTAGCTGCATTAACAAGAAAGTGAATGCACGCGGCAAATATATTGCGGTAAGATAAACAGCCAAACTGAACAGCAAATAGCCAAAAAATTCAAAGAAGCGACGACGACCAACCAACCAACACTAACATACATACATACTCCGACATACACGCACGCACATACACACACAGACACTCTCCAGTGAAAAAGTGCAAGCCGCGAGCGCTTTTGAAGGCGTGAAACGCAGATCAGCTTCCAAGTAAAGTAATCAAGCGCAGAGAGGGCATGAAAATTTGATTGGGAGTCTTGCTATGGCCAGATGCTGATGTTTGCAAACACATTTCCGTGTTTTTAGGAAGGCAACATCGAACGGCAAACGGCACTTGCCGACGACTGCTGCGACCGCGATAGAGCCCATATTCACACACACACACGCGCACTCACACAACACACATACAGACAAGCACGCCCGCAAATACAGTGAAACACGCAACAGCAGCGCCACAACACACACACACATCTACACACCCGCGCGATCCGCCGTGTGGAGCAGGACCCACAGGAACGGAGGAAGTGAGGCATATACAGGGAAAAAGGCCCGGCAGCCAGGCAACGCAGCGCTGCCGCCATTATCTTGAAGATAGCAAAAGGGAACACCACAAGTTGATGCCACTGCCGAATCCTGACATCGTTGCTGTCGTCGTCGGCCAGGAGCCCCGAACTGAATAGAAACATCAACAACAACAATAACAATAACAAGAGAAGCGTATTGGCGAAAACTTTGCATTGATGGTAATGCATGCTAGAAAACCGCAGCGTATGAACGATGGGTAAATTACAATTTCCAATAACATTTCGCTCATATCTAACTTAGCATGTAAATATATAAACTTGTAGTTGCTTACACCGTAGTTAAAAGAAATCTATATGCAATATCTACGTAGAAAAACCCTAAAGACTTAAACGCCAACTTTTGTTTACATATACATATATGTACGCACGTTCCGTGCTGCTGCTTGCTGCACAGACACACACACACACACGCATACGCATACTATACCCCACACATATGCATATATGTCCCCGCCCCGCGAATCGTGATAGTGAACAGGCGCTAATAAAAACACACGTATGTATGCATGTGTGTCTGTATGCATAAAACATATGTGATTTGGGCATCTGATTTAGTGAAAGAAAAACATTAATGTTTGTTGCATATTGTCATCTTGTAATATTTAGATTGCTAGTTTTTGTTCCATTGCGTTGCTCTCGTTTAGCGTGCTTTGGCTCATTCTCCAAACGTTCGTCTGTTCGTTCGTTGTGTCTTTCGTGTGCCGTCTACGTCAAGTTATTCACCACACCTTATTCGCCTCTCGCTCGCACGCTCTCAATTGCTCAGCTGTATGGCGCTCTCTCTGTCATCTCTGTCATTTACCGCTTGCATTTCGGCACTACAAAAAGAAAAACGGTCCAGCCTCAATTCTTTTTGATTGGAGGCGAGACCCGTAAAGGACCTGAACTCTTCTGCATTAGAATTAATTTGACGTCTTTTTGTTTTTTGTTTTTTAATTTTTTATATATATATATATATGTTAAAATTCTCGCACTGCATGTGTTGTTAACCTCTAGGCTAACAAACAGACTAACCAATCAGTAGCCTTTCATCGGAAAATCAAGTCATATCACATAAAATTGAGATTTTTATTTTGTTTTTGTTTGTGGGTAAATATTTGAAAAATATCATTTGGATTAGCAAAAAGCGGCACACACGCAACATTTGTGAATTTCTCCATTTCTATTAGAGCCATAACAACTGAAAAATGGATATGAATGACGGTTGGAATGATTCTGAGTCCGAGGCAGATTCGGGCCGCGGCTCCAATTGGAGCGAAACCCTTAGTGAGCCGAGTAACGATGTCGCCCAGCAGCATGGTCCAGCTGTTGCCGAGAATATGCCACAACAGTTGGCGCTTCTGTGCAATAATAGGATCTATGATCTGGTGCCCGAGGGCGATTATGATAATATCGGGGATGAGCTGGAAAAGTGCACACTTACGATTGATCTGGCCGATGAAGTAGCCCAATTAAATCCAGCCCTCGCCTTACGGAACCCAGAGCCCATCATAATGGATGACAACGATTCTTCGGCCCAGGGGGGGAATATTGAACCACCTGGTTCCATTCGCATGGTTAAGCCTTCATTTACGGTTGTTTACACGGTCTGCAAGTGTGTTTACGATAGCAACAATAAGTTGATATCCAGCAAAATAGCACACACCGAGGCATTTCCATGCTATGATTTATCCGAAGACGATGAACAGAATGTGGATGAGGACAATGGGGGGGTCGAATATATGTTTTCCGATGAAGTTTGTGAAGAGAATAACAATAATATTGATAACGATGATGATGAGCAGCCGATACCATTTAAACGCATGAAACTTGAGCCCCATCCATAATATCATTTCTCAACTCTATATATAACTAATTGTTAACTGAGAAACAGACAAAACACAAACAATTAACACGAAATACGAAAAAAAACAAGCAAAACTACATTAACAACGAGACCAAATAAATATTTAGTTGATTCCATTACTTGTTGCTTTTCAGTTGCATGATTATTGTTTATTTGTTGGCCATTTCTTTCATCACTCTGCATATGCCATTTAAGTATATCTATAACTATATATATATATATATTGTAATTTAATTTTAATATGTACTACTAATACAGCTATAAGTAAATTGCACTAACTAAACGCCTTTGTGTGTATTTAACGTCCTCCTTTTAGACTTGTTAATTACATTTTGTGTTTCCTTTTTGATTTGCAGGTACTTTGAGAAGCATACCAGTCACACATCCTACCAGGTGAGCCTTGACCGTCGACGGTTGTCTATAGACTAGAGCCCCCCACAACCCCCCTCTACTCAGACGCACTAAAACTTTTAGTACTAATAATATCCTCGTTTTTTGTTATTTTCCGTATGTGTATATATTTATATATATGTATATATATATATGTGTGTATATATCAAATGTAGACTTTGTAATCCATAAGCTTTTTTGTTTAATGCCATAGTCAATTTGTATTATAGAAGCGTGCAAATCCATAGATCCATAGATCCATAATTGTATGCATTATTCCATTCTTCATCCAGTTAATTAGTATGTGTGTGTATGCATATATGAAAGGTGTGTTTGTGTGTGTGCCTTCCTTCATTAATTTGACATACTCGATATATACATATGTACATACATATATGCATATAGGCATATGTATATATGCATCTGTATCTATATCCGTATCTGTCTGGTCTGTATGTAGTACTGACGCAACTTTCATTTGTTACCCTCTCCAACCCACTCCGCATTTTGGGCACGCGGCATTGCAGCGAATCAAACGAACTGATCTAACTAATGTACACGTAATTAGAGTAACACTTGGATAAAGCTACATAAACACTGGAGATCCACAACTCAAACCAATTCTAAATCGCACAACTTAAGCCAAAAATCGAACAACTTAAAACTATATACTTATATGTAAACTATATATACATATATCTTTATAAAGGAATCGAGAAACCGTTTGAAATGAATCGAAATAGCAATTAAAAAATGTACACAAAACGCGTACAAATCGTAAACGAAAAATAATATTATATAAACGAATATATATTTAATAGATCGCTATAGGAATATCAAACAATTTTATTATTTATAATTATTAATGAAATTTAAATGCAAAGTTTTTTATTAAACGGAGTTTCCTCAACGAAATTCAATTGCAAGACCAAAATGCAAAAGCAATAAACAATTAACTTTACTATTAATTAAGCTAAAGAAAGCAACAACAACAACAAAAACAACACTGCGCATAATCGAACGTAGCCTTAATAATCAAATTTAACATAAAACTCGCAAACGAACTACAACACAAACGTGCCTAAGCCATAAAAAGCATTAATAATTCAAAAAAAAAAAAAAAGAGAGAGAGAAAAGGATATAAAGCAAAGGATATTCTAACTATATACACACATACATACACACACACACACACACGCTCACACACACGCTCACACACGCCCACACACACACTCTCAGAAATAGAAACGCCTGCATAAATCGCGTTCAGACTGCAGTGCCTCAGCAATATTGAAGTGTTGCTGCTGCAGCAGCCGGCGACAACAACAGCAACAACGACGAGGCGGCAGCTGAGGAAGGCGCGGCCACGCGGCAGGACGAGCACGACGCCGACGCCAACGCCATCTATGACGAGCGCCAGCAGCGGCGGCAGCAGCAGCAGCAGAAGCAACATGGCCGTTGATTTGTCACTGCTGACCAACAGCAACAACAACAACAACAACATCATCTGCAGCAGCAGCAACAGCATTAAAATTGCAGCAGCAGCCACAGCCTCGGCAGCCGTCGGAATTTGTCGCGTTGATGTAAGTAGTTCCAGCAGCAACAATCAAGAAGCAGAAAGAAACAAAAAAGAAACAGACAAAAAACATTAGAGAAAACTGAAAAGTAAAAGGAAAATTGCATTTAAAAAGCGGCAGCCACTGCATAAACTGAATAAATAAAACAAAAGCAAATGAATAAAACTGAACAACAACAATAACATTTAAAAAACAAAACAAAACTCAACATATATATATACACACACACACACACACACACGCACATAGAACAACAACCTGCAACGTGCTTAAGAAACAAAACAAAAACAAAATTCACTTTACGTTTTGATTGTTTTCGTGTTTTATGTTCGTTTTGTGTTCGTTTCGTGTCGCCCACAAATTCCCAACCCTCTCTCAAATCACTAACAGCAAACATACACACTCATTCACACTCATTCACACATACACACACACACACACACACACACACACACACACACACACACACACACACACACACACACACACACACACACACACACACACACACACATACGCACAACAAACCAAAAATTTTAAAATTCAAAATTTAAACCTGGAACTGCACAGTCCGAAAACAAGAACAATAACAATAAAGCAACATTAACAAAAAGACTAGAACAACTATTGGCAAGAAACATTTTATAGCAAAACATATCATTGTAGATAAACTTTTTGTTTATATTTCGTAGCTTTAGTTTTTACTAATGACAGACCCCCCCGTTCCGCCCCTGCCCCACTCTTTCCCCTCAAACATTGGTAACAATAACATGTTAATAATAATAACAATAATGTTTATAAATAACGAATCAACTGAAACAACAACAAGAACAATAATCATCTGCAAATTGTGTGTGTTCGTTTTATATTAATGCAATTCCTAAAACCCCACAAATATCTTCTTCGACAGAGCTCAAAGTACAGCAGTTCAAAGCGCGACTATGAACGCGATCGTTCTTCCAACTATCGCGATCGCGACATTTCGCCTGGCGGTGCTGGTGCCGGCGGAGGCGGTGGAGGAGGCGGCAGCGGTGGTGGCGGCCCATTGAATAATGGCAACAGCTATCGCTCACAATCACCGGACATAGATTCGCCATCATCGCGCTCGCATGATCTGCGCGAGCGCACCGATCATCGCAGTGGTGGAGGAGGCGGCGGCGGCGGCGGGGGCGGCGGTGGTGGTAGCAACGAGCGCTACAGTTTCATACAAAAGATGCGCGATCGGGATCGCGATGTCTACAAAAAGGACAAATATTCCGGTAGCTGTAATACCAACAATTATCACATTTGTACTCCCAATACTTATTCCAATACCTTTTCCCATTGCAGATAAACGTGATCGACGCGGCAATGATCGCGACTCGGAGTCATCGTATCGCACGAATCACGACAGGGATCGTCGTGGTGGCGGCGGCGCTAAGCTTTGCTCATCGCGCGAAAACGACAAGCGCTCCGGCTCCGACGATCGGGATCGAGAGCGCGAGCGTGACTTGCGTGATAAGCGTGACAGGGGCGCCGATCGCGATCGGGACATGTACAAGAAGGACAAATATGCAGGTGAGTGTGCGTGTGTGTGTGCGTAGTCGCAAAAACTCTTTATATAACTCAATCAATATCCCACCTGTGCTCACTTCTATCTACTCTTCCCCAGACAAACGCGAGCGCAGCGATCGCGGCGAGCGTGTGGCGCGCTATGGCGACTGGAGCGAGCATGTCAGCTCTTCTGGTAAGTGCCTCAGTTGACCTTTAAACAATAATTATATTTTGCTAACCAACTTGTTTATTCACAGGCAAAATGTATTACTACAACTGCAAAACTGAAGTCTCCCAGTGGGAGAAGCCTAAGGAATGGGTAGATAGAGAAAGGTATAAAATCCCAGTCAAATACGTCATCTGGTGGACCCTTGAATAACAAACCAAAGCGTACAAATCGAGAGTTGAAAGTAGAGTAACTATCTCCGGGGACTCGTAAATTAAATAACCTTTCGCATGTCTACATTCGATATGCAACATATTTCTATACCTAGCCACACCAAAGTTTAATTCTCAATTCATTTTAAATCTATATGATATAATAGTTCGACATTCATTAGCTTTGTAGGGATCATAATTAAGTTCGGGACATCAACAAATTTGTATTCAATATCATTTTATAGAAAAACTGTTTTAGACAAATAATTCGTATGATAGCTATAGGATGCAGTTGGTCCAATTCAATTCCGTTGTTGATTCTCACATGTAAAGTGCTTGCGACGAATTCAGACCAAGTTGTTATCAAGATAGCTTTAAAACTAAAACCCTTATTTGTAATTTATAGACAGCCAGACATTACTATATATACTTAGCACCTTGTTCTGCTTCAGAATATTGTAATGAAGACAGCATAAAGTATATAGTCTCGGTTTGCATAGGTCTGTCTTTTCGTTGCTGGCAGTTCATATGTGATTCGTCTCACATATCTGCAAAACTATAAATCAATGTTAGAAAAGGGTTTTTAGTCTCCGATGTGCCCAGGATAGCCGTTCTTACTTGTTATTCCTGAACTTATTCAAGGGTCACTCACACACATATACAGAATCTCTGCTAACATATTTTTCAATGCACTTTAGAAATTTGCCGCGAGATCAGCATCGTGAGAAGGACTATCGCGATAAGGATCGGGAACGAGATCGCGATGATCGCTTCTCAAGATCGAGTAAGTTTTAAGCGAACTGCAGAAGTCAACAAGAACAATGATAACAATTGACACGCTTCTCCATTCCAGCATACAAACATTCCAATTCTTCGCGCGACAATTCACGACTGAGATGGAATTATGACAACGATGGCGGTCCGCCCAGCCATCGAAGGCGTTTGGATGGTAAGCAGCACGTGCAGCACGTTTTACAGTTGCTCTACCATACTCACATAATTCTTATGCAGGTCGACATAACGATAATGCTGATATGGACATCAGCGGCGACTCAACGCCCACCTCGGAGGCCAGTTATTCGTTAAGCGGCACACCCACCACACATGGCGGCAGCGTGGGAGGTGGCATGCAGGCTAGCGAACAGTCGTCTCTAATGCCGCAGGGCGTGTTGGCGGGCGCATTGGGCAATGCACTGCCACGACTGGCCTCTCATCCAAATCCCAGCGCAGTGGTTACTCCCATGGGGGCGCATTACGGTGCCGTCGGAGTGGGCGGCACTGGTGGCGGCGGCGGTGGCGGACCGGTGAGCGGAGCTACAATGTTGCCTACCAGCGGATTGGCCTCGGTGCCGTCCAACATTGCCAACAGCAGCAACAGCAGCCTTAGAAACTCAGTTGTCGGCCACATTGGCTCAACGTCAAGCGTAAGTGACAAAACAATTTCTATTCGAGCATCTTCTGATTTATTAATTTGCAGACTACTGTGCCGACGCTGGCGAATCAGGAGAATCATCTGAACTCGAATGCGCCCGGGCCGCCTGGCAAATTGCTCAGCGCTGGTAAGGATCAGGCGACGCTGATGATGCGACAGAAGCTACATTTAGTCCTTGGCGGCATTGATACGCCGCATCATCATTTGCTTCTCGGCAGCATCGCCAGCGGTGGGGGCCTAACGGGCGCCGGCAGTGGCTCAGCAGCCGATGTCGTTAATCATGCCTACAACTCGCTCCACAATGTGACTGCCAGCACCTTAAACAGCTTAAGGTGAGTTCCACACAAATTTCGGAATCCATTTGGGTTTTATACTAACCAATCAAAATTTAATCATTTGCAGGGACAGCAACCAACTCAACTCACCAATGTGCATGCCGCATGCCCATCATAGTCTGTCGCCATCGCTGAGCTATACAAAGAGTCCCATACCAACGATCGTGAGTCACACGAACAATGTGAACGCCAGCAATGCCTACACCTGCAATGCGCCGTTCGGCCTCAAGACGGTGGCAGATGGGCTTGCCGTTGGCGTTGGCGTGGTGTCCTCCTCACCGGCGACAAATGCGATCGGCAATAGTAATGCCATCGCTAGCAGCAGCAACAGCAACAGCTGCAACGTACCCGGGCTGGGCACTGTCAGCGGCATCAGCGTCATCACCTCCATGGGTAGCAACAGTCTGTGCGGCAGTGCAGTGGCGCTTGGCGACGGGCCGCCAACGCCAACGCAAGAATTAGATTTAAGTGGTTCAGCTTTAGAACAACACCAACAGGTGGCTGCCGCCGCAGCCGCTGCCGCAGCAGCTCTAGCAGCGGCCCAAGTGACGCAACAGCAGGCGGCACAACAAGCCCAACAGCAGCGCAAACGTAAGTGCACGTTATTAACAAAATCCTTATAATTAATGTATATATGTTTTACTTCTTTATATTCACAGTCGATGGCACTGGTTCGGGCACGCTAAGCACACTGCAGAGCTGTGTGGCCTCAGTGCAGGCGGCCAATCTGCGTGGCCCGGAAATATCACCCAAGCTAGCCAAGTACTTTCGCGCTGATTTAATTGCGCACGTGACCAACTGGCAGGCGGAAGTATTGGAGCGCCAGGTGAGTAAAGGGCGCTGGCGAAAAATTAGTTCTGAGCGGGCAAATAAAACACCAGTTAAAAATGGGTGCGGGGGCTATTATGAGGTTCCTCTAATGTATGCGGGAGACTTATATAGAACACGAGCTGTACAAACGGACCGCTCCTTTGGGTGACATCTTCCATAGCTGCGCTTAGTCCTAATTTTCCATATAAAGCGCGCTCCGTTTAACGGACTCTTCCTAAAAAAATATTCCCTTTTTTTTTTATCCATATCTGGTGCCGACAAACGTTTGCAAACGGACTTAGGAAGTATGAAAACAATCAACGATTTGCAATTATTGTTTAAACAAATTAGAAAAGTTGTTATGTATCATAAATGAGAATATATAGAAATATTGAAGAGTTTGAGTTTTCCAAGTATTTGTTATTTCTTTGCCAACGCAAGAGAGCTTTTCACGTCCGTCTGAAAGTTTACAAGTAAATTTATTGAAGACTAAAGCTAATTATACGTTCCAATTCTTAATCTTTATATACTTATTCATTTTTTTTTAATTTAAAACTGCATATTCAGTATTCACGTAGTTAGTTCAGGCAGGTTACACTTGGAACATTGTTTTGAGGTTCCCTCTACCCAAAAATCTCGTTATTCTTGAACTCAAATTTGGTACTCTTGCAGGCGCAGAAATGCTGCGAGGACACGCATCTGTTTGGGGACATCACCTGCACACGGATATGCGCTGAACTGAAATGTGCGCGCAGTTTAGTGCGGAGCACTGAGATCAATGCCACGCTGCAGGAACAAAAGTAAGTGGGCGAAAATATATTTGTGGTATATACAATTTGTGGCTAATTTGTTGCTCATCATCCTTTGCAATACAAAACAGAATCATGTATCTGCGCCAGCAAATTCGCCGAATTGAGGAGTCGAAGACTCAGAACGCGTTCATGTCGGACGATACTTAGGATCAGGAGCAAGTTAGGCTGCGCGTGCATCGCAAGCTGTCTGTCAGGCTCAAAAAGAGCACATTTTGGCGCAGCTGATGATGATGATAGCAATGCCCCACTAAACCCACGCAGATGAGTGGCTTATCTCATCTGTTACGCTCATCCGATGCAGATCCCAATGATGAGGCATCGCAACTTGAGCAGGGTGGAGCAGGGCAATTAACACGTGCATCCTTCTTTGTTGGCGGCGGGCATACTCCTTGGTGACACTGGTGTCGGCGTCTGTGCTAGTGGCAGGCAACAGGTGCTGAACAAATATTGGTCGCCGAGCAGGTAACATCAACAATGGAGTTGCTGCAGCGACAACAAAACGGAAACGGAAACAAACAAACAACAAACAAATAACAAACAAACAACAAACAAACAAAAACAACAAACAAACAAACAACATGATGATGAAGAGAAGAACACATGAAACTAAAACATAACTAATAATTAGCAACGCGTAATTTATAACTTAAATAAGCATGAAGCGCAGCGGCAATGTTGAGCTTATGTTGCCGTTATCTAAATCAACAAACAAACAAACAAACAAACATACAAAAACACCAATAACAATCGAAACAATATTGCAAAACTAATTGAAAACAAACAGAGACTATGGACAAAAAAACAAAGCCCAAAACGAAACCAACCCAAGAAGCAATAAGAAAGAAGCCTCCTCGTATCGAATCGAATTAACAAAACAAAAAAAGAAAACAAAGAAAACAAAACACCAACAACAAACAAGGTAAAAACAAAACATTAGTAAACAAAACCAAGTCAACCTAGTATACTCAACTGCAATAAAATGCTAATTTAACTATATACAAAATATATATACATATATATAGAGTATATGAAAGTGTATATTTACAACAACAAACAGTGTGTGTGGCAGACTCGTTAAATACCCTTCTGCACGGAGAACCCGAGGAAAACAAATAACCAAACAAAACAAAACCAAGGCGTGCAGAAATGGATGAGAAAGAGAGAGCAACTATGCATTCTGCAAGAGAGAGATAGAACTAGTGTATGCTGAGAGAGCGAGAGAGCGTCGGTTGAGAGAAAAGTCCACACAACTAGCCTTCATTAGTAGCCGCAGATAAATCCGTTGGGGGTATTCACTCTTGACAGTTTCAAAGTATTTTTGTGTGCGCAAATTTGTTCAACTTTGAAGCTGTCACTTTGTCCAATACCAAAAATCAATTTTTGTCTGGTTTCTGTCTATTAAGCAATAAGGTTTGCGTTGCATTGCGGGTTTTTTTTTTGTTCTTTACTTAATATCGGTTCTTTAGGTAATATATTCTTCTGTAAAGAATCTATTCATTACAGATTTCACAATATTAATATCCATAAAAACTCAACACACAACACACACACCCCCACAGATACACACACACACATAAGCGCCTGGCCGAACAGGCTTCATTTCTAGCTTCCTAGTTCTTATGCGAAAATGTATTTATTTTTTTCTTGAAATTGAATTTGCATACACTTGTTTTTTTTTACGCATTATTTTTACAATTTTTTTTTAAATTAAAATATAAATTAATATATATTAAAACAATATATATATATATATATAAATATATAAAAGTAATTTGTCTTATTTAAGCAAGCTGAAGAAGAGAAAGAACACCCAACACTGCACGCGTATGTTAGTGTAATTTGAGTTTTTAAATTTAACTTGTCTAAACGTAAAAGAGGAATACGAAAAACAAAAACAAAAAAAACAAACAAAACAAAGTATAGAAAACAAAGCAAAAAAGTTTAACAATATAAATAATAATAATAATAACTACTGTAGATATACATATAATTAAATACAATGGTATATATAAATATATTTAAATACAAACAGAAGGTAAAAATAAAAAATTTATATTATTTAGCTAAGCGTCGAAACCGAAAAATATAAAAAACTTTTATGATTAAAAGCGATTTTTTCTTGGGCTGCATCGAATCCTGGAAATCCTCGAATGCCAATCGATGGTGCTGTTGCCTGCGAGTTCAAAGGGGTATAAAATCCGAGATATAGCTAAAAAATGAATATCCTTTTTAGAAAATTGGTCATAAGACGGCCATATCCTTGCAGATTTTCCAAGGACTTGGTGCGTTAGGTTCGCAAGGACCAACTGCATCGATCTGCATTTAAAAAATATGGGGTCATCTAAGAATTCAGGACTTGTAAATTTTCGGTCGCCAGCCGCAAAGGAAACATGCCAAAAACACAAAATCCTTAATAACTCTGGAACTACAAGGAGGATTTGGATGTCCTTTGGCCAGTTGGTAGCCCCTGTCCATAAGAAATTTTTGACACATGACTCGCAAGGATCCGCAAGGATACGGCCGAGTTACAGGCAATTTTCTATATGCAAAATTCACACTATTTCTCAGCTGTTTAAAGGACTTTCGTCCTTTTTAATGTTTATTCTGAATTGGGGCCACAAGGACATTCTATTGGCCAAAGGACATCCCGATAGTCCTTAAATTGGCCAAGTTAGCCCAGATTTTTTGGTTTTTGGGCAATTTTTGCGACTAACCCCCTAGGAAAATTTTCGTTGAAATTTTTGGTCGAATCCTGGAAATCCTTGAATGCCAATCGATAGTTCTGTTTCCTACGAGTTCAAAGGGGCATAATTTTCCGGAATCCGCAAGGATACGGCCGAGATATGGCTAAAAAACGAATGTCCTTTTTAGAAAATTGGTCATAGCTTGGCCATATCCTTGCAGATTTTCAATGGACTTGGTGCGTTAGGATCGCAAGGACCAACTGCATCGATCTGCATTTAAAAAATATGGGGTCATCTAAGAATCCAGAATTATGGTGTGATCGAAGGACACAGACACATGAGTTCGCTTTTTCTATCTATAATATTTTGTACTCTTATATATAGTGCTTGTTTATTGAATGAACTTGATTAATTTAATTTTTTTCAATAAATACAGATACGAGTAAAACTTATAATTGTTCCTTATTTTTTTATTTTCGTATCTTAAATTCAACTCTGGAAAGATATGTATGTTTCTGGAAACTGAATTCTTTTATCTGAAAAGATAAAAAATATATATTAGAAGAAGCAATTAATAAAGATATAATACATAATTAGACAAAACACAGCAATGATAATCAACGCATGGGAATTCATATACGTACGCATTCATGGATGTACTTAAATTCATGAGAAACGCATAGAAAGGCATATGTAAAAATACACTTTGTTAGGTTTTAGCACTATTGAAAGTCAATTGCGTTTGGCATAAAAGTTCATACATTCACACATGTATATATGTATAAGTGCTCACATGCATATACATACATATGCATACATGCTTACATGCATACATGCATACATGCATACATGCTTACATGCATACATGTTACATGCATACATGCTTACATGCTTACATGCAAACCTACATTCTAATAGACATACGCACACAAACATTGATCACCACTTTTATATACCTATAATACATATGTACGTGGATACAAAGTGGATACAAAAAGAGGAAGCAAGGGTATCTTCGGTACTCCCAAGATTGACTACCTTTGTAGACACTTGCCTCACGGTTGTGCGCATATATCAGAATAGTGAAGCTCGTAAATGCTGAGTTTCATGAGAATATGGTGGAAAACAGAATTATTTGCCATGCGCAACTCAATTTTGGACCTTCCTATAGAGCCATATAATAGAGACGTGTGATTTTAATAAACTTTGGGTCATGTATGACCAAAATAGTTTAAAAAGTAAATGCTGAGTTTGGTTTCGAGAATCTACCTTTTGACCAATCGTTCCTATAGCAGCTATATGATATAGTGGGCCGATCCGGCCGGTTTCGACATATGTACTGCCTGCAACAGAAAGGCTGTTGATGCTGATCAGGAATATATATCATTTATGGGTTCAACACAGTGTCCTTCTTTACTTTAGGCATTCACTGGCAAAACTATATTACCCTCTGGAAGGGTTAGCTAAATGAAATATTTTCAGTCTTCATTTTGTTTAAGGAAACAAACTTCGCGGGTATTTCGCAGCCTAGCCTGGGCTAACTTGTAATTTTAAAAATTTAATCAACATTTGAACTTGTCCTCATATAATCGTGGACCCCCATTTTCCTAACAGGTGGTAAATTCAGCTTCCTTAGTCTTATGGCTTGAACAGTTCGTTGATCACCAATAATTCAGTCAATTAGTCAGAACAAAACACAAATATTTGTGCACAAATAAATACTAATGACATCCTTTTCTTAAAAATAACATTATGGCAGGCTGAAATATGCTACTGCGTGAGAGACATATCTAAGTCGAGGAGAACAAGGTTGGTTATTTAAATAATAGATTTAATAATATTTAAGGTTAACTAATTGACCAGCTCGAAGAGTTCTGTGTGTGTGTATTTGTGATTGATATTAATCACAAAGGAGTTGCGACTCTAACTGGCGCACAAAAGTATGCAACGGCTTTTCAAAACAGACGTTGGCACTTAATTGTCATTACAAACAAAGACACACACACAGACACGAAACAGGAGGTTGACAAAGCTTTTGCGTGATTCACTTTAAAGTTGGCGCCAAGTGCCTGCAGAAAGCTCAGCATTTGCCGGCTGCCTGTGGCAGACAGTGAGAAAGAGAGCGAGAAAAGCCGCTGAGCTTTCGCTGCAAAGTAGCGGCATTTAACCCAGCAGACAATGTGCAGAGCAGGCGAATTCGCTGCTATCGCAATGAATGCGAGAAGGAACAGCGAATGAACACCCACGAGGACATCACACTAGGAGCCGACGATGTGTTTATGCCAGTACGTCGCCCCGCCTCCGCCCCTCCGCCGCACCGCACCGCACCGTACCATGCCTAACCGAACCGTTACCCGCTGCTTTTGCTGGGCATTTGGCATCTGCGGGCTGTCAGAGGACAGCGAATGCCAACAAGTAGCAGTTCAGCATCGACAACGCCAGCGTTCGCTTGCGTCGGGCTGATGGCAGCGCAGTAGCACAGAGCATAGCAAAAACAAGAACAACAGCACGACATCAAACGACGCGAGTTTTCAAAAATTATTGTAACGGTCCAGCAGACAAACTGTTTGAAAATTATTCCGTTTTTGTTGTGCTTTGTATTATTTATTTTGAGTGTGTGTCTGTGTTTGCTTTCAGTGTAAGGCGTAGACCGTCGAATCAGAAAGAAAGTTATTTTAGTTAAGGCGCTAATTTACAAAACAAAAAAAGCATCTTTGCAAATAAAAAATAACGGTAAGTAGTTCCCGGCAGCACTTCAAAAGATTAATTAAAATACATAAAGCTAGTTACGAATTAAGGCCCTTTCATTTAAGTGTCTTTCCTTTTAGTTTGTCCAAGTCTCATCGGTGCAAGTCTGAAACCAAGTCTGAAAACTAGAACACCATTAACAATTTTTAAGCAAATTATGTTTAATAATTCAGCTTATAAATTTCAAGGTTTATAATAATGATTCTTCGCGTTAAGAGTACCGACTCAAGGAACATATGAGAGCCAAGCTTGAATTGAATGCCTAAAGTCTAGCCTTAGAGATTCTAGGTTTTTTATGAAAATGACTGAAAAACGGAAACAAGCTCTATGAATTGTCGAAAACATTTCAAACCCCTAAAGCATAAACTAAAAGCCTTAAGTCGAATTTTAATTGAAACAGAATACGAAACTTTTGAATTCGTTGCATGATGATTGTAAAGAGTTGGGAGTTAGGATTGCAGCAAAGTTTGAACAGGTTGTCAGTCGAATTGCAGTCTACTAAAATGACTCAAGCTTGTGCATTTAATTTAGACGTCAACAACCTGAAAAGTTCTTAGAGAAAATGCTAAATAAACCTCAAAGCGTATAAGCTGTCGGAAACGCAGCGAATATGATAATTTGAATACCCTGTTTACAGTATGAAAAAGAGTTTATTGGGTTTGTGTAATGCACACCTTCCTACCCGTTCGTCGGCTTTTAAAGCAAAAGCATTTCGTTTTGGAAAAATCTATTAAATGTATATTTTCCAAAGTCACAGTTCGAAAGTCCTTGCAGCTTCAGAGTCATCCAGAAGAGTCAATCAAGTGTATTGCGTAGCCGGCTACACTCGTTAGAAAGCTTCTAACTTGTTTATAATATGGTTACTTTCGGATACATTTTGCAATTTATTTGTTGCTTTTTGGTTGCATTTGCAATTTGTGAAACGTCAACACCAGATTTAACTAGAACCAAAAACAACATTAAAAATATTTGCCCCCTGTTACTGGGCGCCGCATAAAGACAATAAAAAATATATTTGTGTGGTATATAAAGCAAATAACTAGCTGAAAGTTTGTTCAAATATTTGGCAACAGCAATGCGCGAGTTAAACAAAAAAGCCGAAGATTAAATACCCTAGGAAACATATGGCTTGCAAGTGCTTTTACGGCGGATCAATTGAGCCTATATGAGCTATATGCTCGTAAGTGCTAGGCCAAGATAGCGTAATAAACCGATCTGTTTTCTATATAAAAACTTATTGTTAGACCGATACTAAGCAAAGATTTAGCTTATGCTTATGTTACCAGCATCACGAAGTTTGCAATTGCTGAGTTTAGGCACGATATTTAATTTAAGAATTTTATTCAATCGATCGTTTCTTTGGCATCTATGTGATATAGTGCTGCGAGCCGATCGATTCCGAAATATATATATATGTATATGTATAGAGACGTAACTATGAAAACTTTCGCGACATTAGCTTTGCCCCCAGCTGAGGGAACAGCT